ACTCATGAAAATACATCCATGAACACTAAAACACACTTTAAAACACATCATTTGCTTACAAGCTACATCTTTAAGAGTGTTTGAAACATTGTTGAAACAAAAGAATAGCAATTTTAGTGTGACAAATACTGAAAAAAAAACAACAAGACCTGTTCACAGATGAAAAAATTGAAACTGACACTAACATATTTACATATAACAACAAAAATGTAGCATAACACAGTTTCTCAAAAATGACTGATCTGACTATTCCAAGGCATCTGAACTTGTTGGGCTTCATGCTGTCAGGAGCAGCTGATGAATACTACGCACTGTGGTCTCTCTTCAGGTGAAGCATAGGGGAAGCTATAATTGGTCATATTTTCTTCTTTTTTTTTAACCTTTACTTAACCAGATAAAGAACCCATTGAGATCAGGATCTCTTTCACAAGGGTGACCTGGCCAAGAGGTCAGCAGCACATGTCAAAAGAAAAGTTACAATTAAGTGACAGTATAGCTTAACAATATAGTGTTTTCAATAAAAAGAAAGTGTGGGAGCTGTGACACAACAATAAAACAACAATTTAAATTTTTAAAACACAGGCACTGTTCAATGGTCCCACGCTGTCTGTCCCTCAAGATATAACAGAAAGCTCCAAGTGGAATAAGTTCAGGAAGTTTTAATTCAGTCCGTAGAGTATTCCATGCCGAGGGGGCAGCAAAGCTGAAAGCTCTTTTTTCCTAATTCAGTCCTTACCCGAGGAGCAGATAGAACAAGTGCAGTACAAGAACGCAGGGCATAGCGACTGCTTGTTCTCCGTAATAAAGCACAAATATAAAGGAATCAAGCCTAAAAGAGCCTTATAAATTAGGGTCAGCCAATGTGCGTATCTGCGTGCACTCAAAGAAGGCAAGTTCGATTTCAAATACAATTCACAATGGTGGGTGAGACGTCTACAGCCAGTGACAAATCTCAGTGCCGAATTAAAAATAGTGTCCAAGGACTTGAGACATTTGGATGACGCACTCAAATAAAGCAGGTCCCCATAATCAAGAATGGGCAAGAAGGTTGCTGTCACTAATTTCTTTCTGACCCTGAGAGAGAAGCAGGTTCTATTTCTAAAAAAGAACCCAAGCTTCATGAGAAGTTTAGTGACCAGATTATTGATATGAGCTTTAAATGAAAGCTCCTGACCTAGGATAAAACGCAAGTACTTGTAGTTTAAAACCTGCTCTATAGGTTTTCCTTTAGATGTTACAATATTTGTAATATTCTGTGGTAGGTGAAAATAGGCTGTTCTTGAAATTTGCCTGATGTGAGAGTTAAAGGACATATCTTGATCAAATAAAACTCCTAGATTCCTAACAGTGGTGCTAGATGCCAGGCTGATGTCATTAAGGACAGTCACATCACTAGAAAAAGTCTCTTTGAGGTTTTTAGGGCCTAGCACAATAACTTCAGTCTTGTCTGAGTTAAGTAGCAAAACATTTCTGGTCATCCAGGTCCTAACGTCCTTAAGGCACTTCTAGCTTACATAACTGACTGGTGCCATCGGGCTTCATTGATACATAAAGCTGAGTATCATCTGCATAACAATGAAACTGTATGGACTGTTTCCTCATAATATTTCCCAGAGGAAGCATATATAATGTAAAGAGAATTGATCCAAGCATTGAACCTTGTGGTACTCCATGGCTAACTTTGGTGTGCATAGAGGACTTATCATTAACATGTACAAACTGAGATCGGTCTGATAAGTAGGATTCAAACCAACTTAAAACAGTCCCTGTAATTCCAAGTCAATGTTCTAGTCTGAATAATAGGATCTGATGGTCAATAGTGTCAAAAGCATCACTAAGATCTAACAAGACGAGCACAGAGAGAAGTCCTCTATCTGAAGCTAGAAGTAGATCGTTTGTAACTTTAACTAGTGCAGTCTCAGTGCTATGGTGGACTCTAAATCCTGACTGAAACTCCTCAAATAAACTGTTGTCATGGAGAAAGTCACACAGCTGATTAGCTACCACTTTCTCCAGGATCTTTGAGATAAAAGGAAGGTTGGATATAGGCCTATAGTTAGCTAGAGTTCCTGAATCTAGAGTAGGTTTTTTGAGTAGAGGTTTGATTACCGCTACTTTAAATGACTGTGGTACATAGCCTATCAGTAAAGACATAATGATCAAATCTAATATAGAGTTGCTAACTAAGGGAAAGACTTCCTTAAACAGCTTGGTTGGGATTGGGTCTAAAAGACAGGTTGACGGTTTTGACGCAGAAATAATTGAATTTAGCTCTGAATGGTCGATTGGAGAAAATCAGTCTAGACTAATATCTGGTCCTGGAACTGTCTCTTCCATATCAGACGTATCTGTACCAGGTAAGAGCAGAAGGTTACCAATTTTGTCTCTGATGTCTAGAATTTTTTTGTTGAAAAAGCTCAGGAAATCATTGTTGTTCTCCATGTTTCGGATCCATACAGCATCACTTGTGTGATGCGTATCTTAATGTTTGTGGAGATGTTTTTTGAGTTCCAGATCTTTCTGAGCATGTGAAACACCACTCTAGCCTTGTTAATTCTGCTTCTAATGTTGGCCTCTGTCCCTCCAGTGGTGTCCAGTTTTATTTATTTATAGTAACAGGAAGAAAGATAAAGTGGAAGTGGCAGGAAGTGTTTTCGGAAAGACAGTAAATCAAAAGCAAATACTGTCATAGAGTCATAAAACATTGAGAAATTAGAAAGAAAACCAAACAGAGACAACAAGATACCCTTGGAGTGAAACACATCAGGAAACAGTTTGAAAATGCAAGAAAAAGTTGAACAGTCACACAATGGAGCAGGAAGTATTTTCAGAAGAAATAACAAATCCTTAAACAAAAACATTTACTGTCTTAGACTCAGGAAACAACAATGACTTCATTTAAGCTATCAATGAAAGGCATTTGAAAAAGTTATACATGACCCGATACTGAATGTATTTATTCTGGCATCACGTTCTCATCTAATATAGATTTGCAGAGATGCACCTGTTCTCTATGTGTGTGAGTTACCCTAACCCACGCTCCATCATTCATTTGAGTCAGTCACTGTGATAAACTTTGTATTTTTTCTTTTTTTTACTACAATGAGCATATTTGTACTATGGAGAATTAGGGCCACCTAAACATTTTTTTTTTTTAAATCTAAAATTTCAAGATTAAACTCATAAATGTACTATTTTAATCTTTAATTCAGAATCTTAATTCTTCTAATTCACGAGTCTAATCTCAAATTTTTTTTTTTTTTTTTTTTTTTACATGGCCCTAATCCTCGTTGTATATTAGTACAGACGGCACCCTGATTTACTCTCAATCTCACCTGAGCAAAGTCCACAAGACCTTGAAATTCATAGTTATACTGAGGCAGGCTTTGGGGCCATTATGAAACCAACTGTAAAACATGTTCTTTCCAATCCTTCACTTTACAACTTATCAACATGATGAATACTGATAACAGTAAGTGTTATGTTGAGCTCAAAGCCCAAATGTAATTTTCCCATGACAGAGAAGTCACAGGAAAATGTGTTGAATGAGCTTACTTGTGTTTAATGAACTTCAAACATATTTGACTGCTGTCAGTTTGTCCAGTCAGTAAGAGCAACCCTCCTTCCAGTCATCTCCAGTCCATCTCATCAGAGACCAGGTTCAGCTCTCTTACTTCATGGCCACAAACAGTGTCTTGGCTCCATTGTGGGGGGGGGGTTACTCGATCCTGTTCACAGCTTACTACCCCTTTTAAATACATGAAGACATCATCTGGGGTCTAATCGCCAATGACATGGAACATTTCTTGTGCTTTCTAAACTTGTAAAATATATAATAAATAAGAATTCACTTTTAATGAAGTCTCTCCTGATTTAAATGAAATTATTGTCTGGTTACAACCGGACACGGGATACTGACATTGTTAATCACAAAAGAGGCTCACAACATGACATCACAGACGTCATGAATAAAAACATGTTAATATCACTTCAGAAAAAAAAAGAATTACACTTAGGGATATCTTTATTTGGTTTCATGTAATTAAACATTATGGTTTGTATTTTCAAAGCCATGCACACTGGCACAGGTTTTTTTTAATAACTGTCTAATCTGATTGTTTTTTTATAACTCTGTGAGGAATGAACATTACTTAAAGCAATTTAAAAGCAGTTCCACTTGCAGTGGTTTCTCAACTTTTTCTGCTGGGCACCACTTTCATTGACTCATTTATATTAAAGGCCCCCTAACCCTCACAAAATACACAGTGACTCATGAAAATACATCCATGAACACTAAAACACACTTTGAAACACATAATTTGCTTACAAGCTACATCTTTAAGAGTGTTTGAAACATTGTTGAAATAAAAGAATAGCAATTTTAGTGTGACAAATACTGAAAAAAAAACAACAAGACCTGTTCACAGATGAAAAAATTGAAACTGACACTAACATATTTACATATAACAACAAAAATGTAGCATAACACAGTTTCTCAAAAATGACTGATCTGACTATTCCAAGGCATCTGAACTTGTTGGGCTTCATGCTGTCAGGAGCAGCTGATGAATACTACGCACTGTGGTCTCTCTTCAGGTGAAGCATAGGGGAAGCTATTACTGGTCATATTTTCTTATTTGTGCCCCCATTGACAAAACTCTGGGCCCCCATAGGGATCTGGGAATCAGTGACTTCAAATGTAATTGCCCCTGCAACATGTTACTAAACTAACTAGCTTTGTATGCAGCACAGTCTGAACACACTTCTGATTCAACAAAGAGTTCCAATAAGTAAGACAAGTTTAATAAAGTATTATCGTATATTCTCATATCTGACAGTGATCTGTTAATGCAATGAATATGTTTCTGAAAACAGACTAAATAAAATACCATAAATATATTCAAACAGTGTTGTTGAATGAAATGCAGCAGCTTTTACAAATAATTTAATGTTTTTTTGTGATCAAAAGTATATACAAATTCCACAAAAAATAGAAGAAATATAAAACAATGTTCACTTTTTATTACATATACAAAAATAAATAATATCACGTAATCATTTTACAGGTGAACTAAATTAGTGTGTTTGAGTCAATCAATCAATCTTTATTTGTATAGCGCCAATTCACAACAAATGTAATCTGAAGACACTTGCAGACACAAAGAGCAGGTAAAAGACCTTACTCTTTATTGTATTGCCATATTTATGAACATTGAGAAGCTTGTTGATTTTTTTTCCATATGTGGTCGTACCAGAAGCCTCTACAAACACTAATTTACAAGTTAGTAAAAGCTGTTGTTTGTGCATGCATGATTAACATGTTTGGCAGTGTTTTCATGAACTGTATTATGACTCATTTTGGAGATCGGGACTCTCCTCAGGAGAAACTGTAGATGTCTCGACTCTAGATTCTCTTCCTGTTTCCACCCTATTGTTCTCTTCTGAACTTCTGTCACTTTGTGTGTCAGGCAGATACTGATCATATTCAAAAGCAGGATTTGTCTGCCCCTGGATGTGCTGCCTCTGAACTTCCTCGAAGATTTGAAGAACCTTAAAAAGCACACAAAAAGAAGCAGCAGATACTGGTGTAAACATCGACACGACTAGAATTGTTTATTAAGAGTGAATGGAAAAGATGGAATATTAATGTTACCTTTGATTTAGGAATAAGACCCACTCTGAAGAAACCAATGTGCCCTGTTTCAATTTTTGTACAGTCAACCACGGTAGAAGCAATGTTCTCTGGGGAAGGCCCATCACACAGCACTCCATCCACCTTATTAAGCAAAATGCACATGTAGTTCATGAAAACACACAAAGCAACAGGTACTGTTTGAGAGAAAATATGGTCCTCACCTTGTTCCCCAGCTTGGCGTAAACTTGGTTGTGGTGAGTTGTGTCGGCCTCGCCAGTAGGGTTGGCTGAGGTCACAGCGATGGGCCCCACCTGCATGAAGGACATTTTTGTTTTTACCAAAAAGCCTTCTTACTACTAACTTTAAAATGTATAATGTTTGATGTACTCGGCATTACCAGATTAATGAGGTGTGTGGCCACAGAGCAGTCTGGGTTTCTGATCGCAATGCTTTGTGGAGTACCGATGTGTTTGGCAGCATCTCCTAAACCAAAGGTGTCCATCCACGGGCCTGAATGAAAGAAAATAAAAAACAGAAGAAAAAAAATGCTTTTTAATCACCAGCATGCAACAAGGGCACACAAACACCACGTTACACAAACAAATAACCACCCAAATAAAAGACACCAACCTCTTGGTATGACCATGCTGATGGAGGAGGGCCACGCAGCCTCCATGAAGTTCAGCAGCAGAGGGCTCAGCAGGTGACGCACCGGCTCCAGCTGCTTTATGGAGGAGATCCACAGGGACATGGGTCGGTCCTGCGCCTGCTTCTTCACCCTGAATTTAATCATGAAAATGACAGAGTTATGCGTTTCAATCATTGCATGGACGCAGATAAGGGAACACTGATTATAATGGAAACTCACTTGTAAGCTTTGACGACGGCATCGGGTCTGTTACAAGCTGCCACTAGCACGTAGACGGTGTCAGTCGGCATTCCACATATGCCGCCATTTTTCATGATTTCTGCAGGTAAAGAAGACGAGAACACGACTTTAGGATCAGATAAATCAACAGCTGTGTATCCCTAAAATGAACCATGATTCCTTCAACATTTTCACCTGCAATCTGATTGACAGACGAGGCCTTGCGGGCTGATACATGCGGACAGACATCTGCTCCTCCACCCATTCCGCTCAGCTTGACCAAAGGCTTTCCTAGGGGGATCTGTGGGCTCTGGAAGGTGCTGTTAAAGATGTGCGCCAGGAAGCAGTAAAAACTAACAAGGCCAAAGATGATAGTGACTCCTATGTCATAACCGTGAGGCAGTGCTCCGACAGCATCCAGCAAGAAGCTAATGAGGATGAGCTGGAAGGTAAGGGCGTAAGCAAACCAGGCTACATTTAAAAAGAGCGCTGCAGCTGTCACTAAACAGTTAAACAGCATAAAGCTAATGATCCCAACAGCAACATTAAAGCTCCTGGTGTCACCATACAGGCCTCCGTATCGTGTCAGCCCCCACACTGTCCACATCACACCATAGAGGACAAAAACTGTGCTCTCAAAGGTTTTACCTCGTGCAAAAGCTACTGAGCCACACAATAGCACGAGAGCACCTCCAGACATGACCACCCAGGGAAGAATCAACACCGACAGAGGATTTCTGTCACCGACTGAGGCTGTCATTGCAAAAGCAGCTAGAACGCTGCAAGCAAGGCCTAACACCTCTGCATCTGCATACTTGGAGTAGCCCAGGTGGGGTGCATGCAGCTCTTTATCTGCTCTGAGAGTAACACCTGAAATTCTGGTTACTAACATTTTGAAATAGCCCTGCCCTGTGGGAATCTTTGAAGCGGAGACAAAATTAAAAGAGCTGATTAAAAGCATTACAGCAGAGATTACAAATATGGCTCCCTGTACACCCTGTGTGCCTCCTTTGAAGAAAGCTTGAGGCTGAGCTGCAATGGCAATACAATAAGCAGCAAAAAACAAGTGGTAAAGCCCCTCCAGCATGCTTTTCTGACAGCTGAACAGAGCCAGGATGGAGAACAGCACAGAGAAGACGACAGGGAAGGGAACAGGGGAGGAAGGCTGGATTGAGTAGAATGATAGAAGAGCGCCGTAGCCCTCTGCAAATTTCAGCAGAGCAGTGAAGCCGTAAAAAGTGGCAGCTAGTGTGTCCATGGCTCTGTAGAGGAGGACACACACTGCAAGCTGAAAGACTCCTGATGTCCATAGCCAAGGGACATGACCCACGGAGAGCTGGGGGACCACACCTAACAGAGGACAGGCTAACACTGAGGCAGACAGCAAGTTCATCACCAGACCTACCAGTACTAGATCTACACACCCTTTGTGCTGCTCCGTTTTTAAATCAGGTTTGCTTTTCAAGCTTGTTCCTGGAGGCTCAACTTTACCTTGAGTAATTGTGGACAACAGACGTCCAAAGCCAAAGTAAACTCCCACTAAACAGACCAGAAGGTAGTTTGCAGCTGTGGCAGACTGACCAAAACCTGCAGCTGACAAACCAGCAATTTGATGGGCACATGCTAAGCTAATGCCAACAGCTATAAGAAAAAGAACAGCTTTTTTTGCAATGACCGCTATACCACCTATGATGAGCAGGGCTAAAGTAAACGCTGCCAGGCCTGGGACCAGAGAAGATCTCAGCTCTGTGGACGGCAGCACACCCTGGCCCACCAGGATGTAGACCAGACCTGAACCACACCACAGAGCAGAGACAGTCAGACACAGAGAGGAAAACAGCTGGGCGTGGGACAAACTGCGACGGATCCCTGAGTGACAAAAACACAAAGGAGTGGATATGTTGTTGTTTTTTTTAACACAAATACAAATGAGCCAGGAGAGCTAACAATACTTGTGATAAACATCCATTAAAACCAACCTGCATAAGCTAAGAGTGCTGAAATTATTAGGAGCAGAATCCCCAGTGCAGTCTGGGGGATGAAGTCTTTTTCTGTTGAGCTGGCATAGCTGTTCACCAAAAGCAGGAGAGAGCCTACAAGTCGGAAAGACAAAAATTTGTATCTATAGCTGGCCACTGTTAACGAAACAATATTTTTTGACACATTAATACAAGTTTTGGTTTCACATTTTGATGGAAAAGTTGAAGTGATTTTGCCTGCCAAATTCCAAAATAAGGTTTTTGTCTGCCTAATGACTTTATGAGAGGTTTCAGTATTTTATGTACACACATGAACATATAAAAAAGTAAATTTAAGCAAAGAGAATAAAGAATGGATCTTTTTACAATGTTTGCATGACACTTTTTCAGGTTGTACGTTCTATTTCTAGTCTTCACAACTTTAACTATACACAACAAGCTTCTAATGAGCTATTTGATACCAAAATAATGTGTGATTTTATTTTTAATATTAATGGCGGCATCTTGTTTCAGTGTGTCATGTTTTCAAAACTTCCATATCATTGGTTTGAAGATTAAATCCTAAATCAGAATCAGAAATATTGTATTAATCCCAGGGGGAAATTCGTTTGCTACAGTTGCTCTTAAACACAAAATATCAGTAGGAAGTACAGAAATAAGTTTACAATATAAAAGAAATTAGAAATAATAAAATAAGCAATAAGTACCAAAATATATAAACAAATATACATATAACTGCTGTGTTAAACACTGTAGGTATATTACAAATATAATACTTGTTAAGGGACTGCAGATGAAAATAAGCAATAGGGATCATTGTGCAGGATCCCTATTACAAATAAACTGAATACATCAAGATGCTACACAACTTTGTTATCATGTCTTAGTAATTAAATAATTCATGATGATATGACGATTGCTGCAGAGAGCTTAGTGTAGGTTATAGTTGCTGCAGACGACAAAAAAAAACACATCTTAACAGACGTATGGAAATACGATCTTACCGCCAGAAATGCTCAGTACTCCCACGGACACATGGAGTGACTTGAGGTAAGCCATGGCGCGAGTGGGTTCATTAGTACGTGAGCAGCCGGTTTTTATACGGCTGTGTGTGACGTCAGCAGGGAAGAGAAACATGAGGAGAAGCCGCACCTCACTGGGAAAACACTGAAGTCTTTACCATAGACTGTAAAGGTCTTTACAGGAAATAGTCTCTGCAAAAAGAATTCCTTGTGAACTTTTTCTAAAAGTGGTACAATGGGAATTAATATATAGGTTACAACACATATTGTTACACCTGTACATAATTATATTAATATTTAAAAAAAAAAAAATGTGGCCAAAGATCAACACAAACAGTTATACCATGCTAATATCGTCATAATGACATTTATATTCATAGTCTGCACAGCAAACATAAAACACCTTTTAATTTCAGTAATTTATGGCATTTCTAAAATAATAATGTCCACACATCGTTATAAAGTGCAGGAGACCAGTCTTAAATGGATGATGTCATAGGTAAGCTAAAGCTTTACTTGGATACAAAGTGTGAAGTTTACTCCTTCAATACAACACGTTGATTATTTAGAGCACTCATTTGTGAGGAATGATTCAGCATTTCACCTGCTGTTGTTGTGGGAGGGGACAGAGAGCCGGCAGAAGTATAAAGTTTCCGTTTCAGAGTTGGTCATCACACCTCTGCTGAACAGCTCAACAAACTGACAGCCAACCACATACATAAGGTAAGATACATTTAAATGGCATCATTTCGACACTTTAATAATGTTTGTTTCTAAAATGAAAAATGAAAAATCTAAAAGATGCAGATTCAGGCCGTGTTCACACTTGACTTCTTTTTTCAACTGCAAGGGCCTTTTTTTTTTACATACTACAAGCCTATGGAAAAATGAAAAAGTATGACGCCTTTTTAAAAAGCGCTGCGCCTTTTTCATTTGAATTATTTCAACTTTTCAGAAAAGCGCTGGGTGACGTCAAGCGCCTTTCTGACAGCTGACCAATCAGGACGAGTAGTAACCTACGGCCCTAGTTACCGGTGCCCAACAACGGCAAACTTCCACCAGATACTGTGTGCATTGCGTGTCCGCTCCGGTCTGTTACGGGTCCGTGCGTCCTCATCCGTCAACACCCACCGGCTGTGTTCTCAGTCTGCAGCACGGAGAGCACAGCCGGACAGATGGAGTACGGAGACAGAGGAGTTTCCGCGGTAATTTAACAGATTCACTCGCGACAGAACGAGATAATACGACTTCCCGTCCCGCTTGTTCTTTTCTGGGAGTCAACAGCGTTACCTGGCATTAGCAGCACCTCTGGTGTCCCCTGTCACCTGGCTCTGTCACATCTTTATGTGAACAAGTTGCTTAGTAGCAGCTCTTCTTATACCTCAAAACAGAGAGAAGCACTTTAGGCTGTACTCTTTTTAAGTTGTGTATAGTCTAGATAATTTAAACATTTCTCAGGTTTAGAAAATAAATGTTATTGTGTGTGTGTGTGTTTTTTTTTTAAAGGAAACATGGTGAAGCATGTTGCAGTTATTCTCTCAGGCTGTGGAGTCTATGACGGAACAGAGATCCATGAAGCTTCTGCTGTCCTCGTTCACCTGAGTCGAGCTGCAGCTAAAGTAAGTCCAAGTAAAGAGAAAAAGAAAACACATTTAGAGGGACTTGTGTTTCTGTCTATTTGTTTAGCCAAGAAATAAAAACTCCCACAATTCCAAATTGAAAAGTTCTCATATTCTGCTATTATTTATTTCAGGTGCAGATGTTTGCTCCAAATGCAGATCAGATGCATGTTGTAAATCACTGTGAGGGGAAACCTACAGATGAGAAGAGAAACATCCTGCAGGAAAGTGCTCGCATTGCCAGGGGGGACGTGACTGATCTGGCCAAGTTGGATGTTTCAGCTTTTGACGCAGCCATCATCCCAGGTTGGACTCACTGTGTCAAAAACGAATTATGTATGGGTGAAATATTTTCCATGATGTTGTACATGAACCCTGCATTTTCTCTTTCAGGGGGCTTTGGCGTAGCTAAAAACCTGAGCGACTGGGCTGTGAAGAATAAAGACTGCATTGTCCAGCCCCAACTGGAGAAGCTCATCAAGGCTTTCCACAAAGCTGGGAAGCCGCTGGGCATGTGCTGCATCTCTCCCATTCTCGCTGCCAAAATCCTGCCTGGCTGTGAGCTCACAGTCGGGCAAGACAAAGAGTGTGAAAAGTGAGTGAAATAGTTTCTCATCATCAGATATCAGTGGATATAAAATCACTCTTCTCCGATTCTAACTTTTGATCTCCTTCTGTTTCAAGGTGGCCGCACGCTCAGACAGCAGGCGCTGTGAAGGAGATGGGCTGTAAGCATGTCAACACAGATGTGGATAAGGCACACGTTGATATCAAAAACAAGCTGGTCACAACATCTGCATTCATGTGCAACGCTGCCTTTCATGAGGTTTTTGATGGAATAGGAGTCATGGTTAAAGAAACCCTGAAACTGGCTTAAAAGTCTCTAATTACATGTTCTCATGTTTGTATTTATTTCCTGTACAAGCATGATGTCAAGTTATAGAACTCATCACAGAGAAGTTGTTTAATGTTAGCCCATAGATGTGTTGTTTTGACATTCTCAATAAATTTACACTAAAAAGGTCAATTTTGTATTTTTTCTTCATTGACAAAGAAACAAAACAAAAATCAACCCCAAAAAATGTAGGAAAATCTCTTACATACTTACTTTTCCGCAGAGAGTCTTTGTTAATCCCATGAAAGACATAAATAATGAAAACAGAAATGTACTTTTCCGCACACATTTTATGTCCTTGTCCATGCAGAGACCCATGTGATTTCCATCTTGCCACACAGAGCAAGCATGTGAAGGGGCACAAAACCATGTCTGCGACTGAACCCATGACATAAGATTTAAGTTTTATATTACTTCTCCTACTTTGAAACAGTGCTGGTGTCACTTCTTCTTCTATGCTAGTTTGCCAGTGAGCTGTGTTAGATACCAATAACCAAAACATTTTGGAAAGTTATGTAAAAGTATTTACTGTATCACAAACACCCCGCTGCTTCTAGGATTGTTATAACATTTGTACTTATTTGTAAAATCTTCTTGTAACGGATTGTAACACTCAAGTAACACTCAATATAACCAAAGGTTTCAATAACTCAACTCAACTTCAACTTTATTTGTCCCCGAAGGGTGACTGGTTTTGCGGCAAGGCAGAACAAGACAGTAAAAAGACAAAAGTACATCCAAAAAGTTAGCAGCTTTCATTAAAATAAAGTGCAGAGTCAACATGAAATATAAACAGCTCACTGTTAAATATATATACATCACTGGTAATACATATACATTCACATAAAGTGAAGTACAATGTAAAGTATAATGTCTATCAACCAAAACTACATTAAAAAAAGCCTCATGAACTGAAAATAACAAAGTTGAAGCGGAGCAGTGCTCAGATGAGGAGAAACAGACATGTTGAATGCTGTCTGCATTTATGTCAGTCTAAGAAATCATTCATATAATCGATCTAATGATTCATTTTTAGTAATTAGTAATTTTACTTTGATTGAAGCCACAAAACCAAATGGATAAAGCTAAAAGGTACTTATTATCGCAAGAAGTGAGAGTGTATTACAAACAAGGTGAGGCAGAATGTAACTGAAAGGGCCTGTGGATTCTGATCTAACTCAATTAAATCATATAATTAATACAGGAGGACCCTAACTGGAGTGTTTATCTACAAATATTTCTAAGGTGAAACAGAAAAACAGAAAACCTATACTTAACTATTCAAAACCGAACTATAACCTAATGTTTCTAACAAAACTGAATGAATCCCTGCATATGAATTTAAAAAAAATGAAGTGCCTCGTAAAACCAACACAAAAGTTCCCACAGAGAGATTAATGTCATACACACAGGAGAGGAGGTGTGGCAGCGGCCATAACTGTTGAATAAATTAAAAACACCATGCAATCTGAACATGGAAGACACTATTTTATTAATTGATCATATATTTACAGAAGATAAACAATATAGTCCAATCTACACTTCTGGTTTATACATTATACATATACATGGAACAGCCTTTTGGTCAAAGTACAACATATCACTTGTCGATGTGCAGAAGAATCAAGCAAAAATTCATGCAGTTTTGTTGGAGAAATGTTTGAACTGATCAGCTCCACATGCCAACTCTGTCGCATGAAATTTCCTTGGACGATTAGGATCCTAGAGACAACAGGAGGAAATCAGAATCAATACAAAGTAAGATTGAGAAATGATAAGGTACAGAAAACAGGATTACAATTATACTCATGTTTGTCTCACCTGTATGGGATATGCACAGGTGGGAACATAACGGATGACAAAGCCACAGCGCCTCCTCTGGGACATGTTTGCATCACTTGCATGGACCAGGAATCCATCATGAACCTTTTGAAACAAAGTCCCAAATCATGTTTCATATATCAAACATTTTCATAAACTTTTATCTTTTAACAAAACATAAATACACTCACAGACATCTGGCCGGCTAACAGAGGGCAAATCACAGCTTCATCAGCCTGCACCAGCTCCTCGGGGATCTCCTGGTTCACTGACAGCATGTTTCCAGGGCGGACGGCTTGGCGATGGGGTAACATGCCGGCGCAATGACTACCTGCAGGGCACAGAGACACGTTAGTCTGATCTATGGAGCAGGATGTTTTCATTAGTTAATCATGTAAGTTGAGACATTCTGCTTTTATTTAGCAGAGGACAGCAGATGAAGGCAAGTTGTGATGATACCTGGGATGACCTGGAGAGCGCCGTTCTCCTTCAGTGAGTCATCTAAAGCGAGCCACACGGAGAGAACAGGGCCACCTGCAATACCCCAATACCTGCAAACATGACAGTTTGAGTCAGAGAAAACTAAAAACAACAACAACAAAAAACCCTACATGCAGACATTTCAGGATTTAAATCTACCTCATATCCTGATGCCAGGCCACATATGGGAGTTCATTCTCCTCAACATCAGGCTTGGTTTCCCCCTCTTCATTCTCCTGGTGTTTGGGTTTGACTGTGGGGTATTTACAGATGAAGCGGGAGTCCAGCAGGATCACATCTGGGCCAATGATGGCTTTGACCACTGGCAGGATTTGAGGATGTTTGGTCAGGTCCTTCACCCATGGATACTGAAGGTGAACATTATGGAGGCTGTACTGTGTGTACTCCTCACCTGGAAACATACAAACATGTAATATGAAATTATATTAAGTGCTGCATCCTTCACCACGTTCATAATTAACAAAATTGCTCTCATTAGTTGTCTCCATTCCTGCATTTTCTGTCTTTTTCATGTCTTACTTGACTGCTTTTTCACCCTTTGCCTCTCACCCTCCTTCATCTCAAAGCTATAACTTACCAAATTCTTCCTCCAGCTCAGAAAAGGCTCGCCTGGCCTCCCTCAGCTCAGTTTCATCTAAAACAGGCAGCGCTGAGAGGAAGCCCTGCTGGTTATAGATCTCCTGCAGTTTGGCTATGGATGTTGTCATCTCTGTTAGACTGGTTCACTGCTGATGCCTCGGGCTTTCTGCTCCGGAAATTTATAAGGCAGCAAACTGTTTGTGGTGTTGGAGAAACAGAGAGATAATGTGAAGTTTAAATATATTCTGTCTGAGATTGTGTTTTTCATCACATTTTCAAGAGCAGCTGAATTTAGTTGTTTATGCAGCCACGCCATGCTCTGATGGGAAAAAACACATCTAACCACATTTGCACTGAGCACCACCTTGTTCTGTTTGCCCTATTAGACAAATATATTAGACCAATATAACGCTGAACCTACACCTCTCTGCCAGTGTGAAACAGGCTTTTGTCAATATTAAGAGTCTTTTTTTATTATAAATATAGAACATCTGCTTACTAAAACAGGTCGGAAAAGAACATTTCTATCATCATACTGGACAATTTAAAGACTGAAAACTTTCCTTTAACCTCCACCAATCTGTAACTGAAATATTATCACTCCACTTGCCATGTTTTAAACTGACTTTAAGCGTTTGACAAGAAAAGCTGGGTAAAATTCATGCACATAACTTGTGGGGAAAAAAACAAGGAAATTAAAAGCATTGACTTCTGTAAAAAATAGATGATTAATGACATTTGTTTTTTTACAAATAGAAGTTCAGAAATGTATTTTGGTCCAGTTAATACATATTTTGTTCATATGATAAATAGTATATGTCTTAAAATCTTGACATAAAATGCTTTTCCATGTTCAATCTTTATCTGCAAACAAAACAGATCATACTAGATTCTTTACAGAGGGTATCGTTTGGTCCACATACCTGTCTGCTGTTCACTCTCCCCTGTCTGCTGTTCAGTTGTGTCTGACCTCCAGATACTGTCCAGCTCTTGTGGAGCAGAGATTATATACACCTCAGAGCACCTTCTGGAAATTCCACTTCCTTTATTTCTTTCCAAAGTTAGTAATGATCCTTCATCATGGGATGAGTGAAACAATGACTGTGACGTAAACTGATAACATATTGTTGCAACAATATGTTATCAGTTTACATAGGTGTGGTGTGGCATTCAATGACCCTTACACACTTAGTAACATGAAACCTTTTCTCTTCTGGAGCTATGTACTAAGCTCTTGTGTTTCATTTACTGAACTAATGTAATATTTTACCATTAGGAAACTGATACTCAGTGATGAAGACACATGAAGACTATCTTTGGTACCTTCAATCATTACCGAATGTCAAGAGTGATTTGACTGGCCTATTTTTAGTTTAACTCATTATTCTGTCCGAGTTTCCCACTCATCACAACCTTATACTCAACTTTTTTGTTCCAGGAGCTGTGACGGATCACAGGATAAAGGCACATTGTGTGTGATCCGTCTGTGAGTGCATGACGTAGAGTAATATCTGAATGGGGTGCCTTCATATTCATGAGCAACATTTTCAACATTTTCTTCTTTTATGTTATTAATAATAACTTATAATTTTAATAAACTTTATTAATAAAGCACTTTTCAAAACACAGTTACAGAGTGCTTTACAATATGAAAATTTAATAGAGCGATGTGAGGAAGAATGTGAAATTGTGTGTTGTTCACAATATTATTATCATTTTTTATCAAGTACTTTTTTGCTGGTTTATTTTCCATGCCCATGAGGATAAAAAAATGTTTTTACTGTACAAAACACTGTAATTATGTGTCATTCTGCCTGAATAGGTTAATTAACGTTTGTCAGTAAGAGAAGAAACAATTCATGATATTTGCATTGTGAGCATTTTAGCAGAAGCTGAAGATGAAATCACTTAATTAACTCATAACCAAATATCAAAATTATAATCATGTTAAACACTTAAATAAATGAAATAAGAGAAACTGTTTATTTCAAGGAAAGAGCCTCTAAATGGTTAGGTTCCCGTTAATGAACCAACATTAGTTACTTTGTACTTCTGACGTTGTGATAATGAAGGATGTGGAGGTTGATGGTCGGCGTTCATAAATAGTTTGAACTTCCTTCCCTGAAAATTCCACAGTCCACAAAGTCCACAAAGTCCACATCTTAATCCATCACATCGACCGCAAACATTTCATTCTACTTCCTGAATTCCTCCATATGTTCTCATGTCACATGATGCTGTTCTGATTTACACTGTTGCACTGGATTAATAAATCAACAATTTGATGAACTCAAAGTGAAACAAGCTAATAGATTACAGATTGTGTATGCACTACATGGCATTAGTTTAAACTAAAATAGCAGGTTCGGGAAATATTACAGTCTCTTACAGGAAATATTCAAGGTTTCAGAGAAAACAATAAACTGAGGGGAAACCCCTGATCACTTAGCGACCAACTCTGTGATGTAATGTCATGGGTCAATAGTTTTAGACCAGGATCAGTGACCAGGAAAGCAGAAAACTGTTCAGGTATATGGTGTCAACAGGAACTCAGCAGCAAACTGCTTCTTCACAGCCTTAGTGAAATGAAATCATTCAAGCAGGGAAAAAAAACATCCACAGTCTTAGATCAGACATTACTATATTATTTATTGCATATATTAGAAGATGACATACAAGACAATTACATATATAGTTTAATAGGAACACATGCTGGCAACAATTTCTGTTCAGTAGTATACATAAGAAAAATAAACTATATTCTACAATTTAAGTGTAACCTTATTATGGAGGTTTGGGCAGAAAATAGCAAACAATGAATTTGACCACCAGATGGCAAATGTATTCATGCCTGGAAACCAAAGAACAAACCCATTCACAAGTACTATTTTGTTCTACTATGATGATATAAAAGTGCTGTTAGTTACAATAAAAATGTAAGAAGAGTCCAATTTTTTATCAACTTTAAGTGTCACTCAATTTATAATGTTGATAAGAATATAAAACAGAATCTGCTTTGTGCATGACTTTTTTTCATTCCTCTTTGTCCCTATTAGGGTGCTTAGGGCAGAGTGGGTGGTGTTGTTTTCTTTTTTCTCCACTTTGTGTCCTATTGTCTCCCCCTAGTGGCTCCTGCTCATTATTGCAGCGGTGGATCAGCACTGGGTCCTTTTTGGTGGGTGTTTTCTTCAACAACAGCCGCTGCAGCATCTGTTTGTCAGACCGCTCCCGTCGGAAGTCATCCTCATATACCTTGAGCTGTAGTGATGTCAGAATGACAGACGGAGAAATCAGGGGAAAATACACATTGCCACAAACAATATGAATTCTAAACCTTTGCAAGGTTGTGGAGTGCAGGAAAAATTACAATATGGCTTTGAGATGTTCTATTCTTGTGATTATATGAATACTGCAGTATGTTTGAACTGCCACTGCACAACATATACTTTGCACATTTAAATAATCTAACTTGGCACTGAAGCCCTGAAAAGCTTAAATACATAATTTATTTACTCGATTGATGCCTGACTTGTCTATGGAGATGTTACATAATCTGTGTACATGTATTTCTGTTTGTGTTTGCAGAGTGCATTTGTGTGCATATGTAGATATTTTAAACAGTACCTGCTCTTGCAGGAGTGCCACCTGTTGGCGCATCTCCTCCCTCTTCTTCCTCAGTTTGCGGTTCTCCTGCAGAGTGTGTTTGTGGTCGTTGTGCTCCGTCTCATACTCTGCTTCATAAATCTGGGTCTGCCGACAGAAGACATCAGTGTGGCAGAGAGCCAATATCAGAGCCATATCTTTTGATCTGCAGATATTTATTATCAAGCTGTGAGCAAATGCAGAACAGCATAAAGTCACCACTTGGTGGTGTTGTTCACTATCCAATCCTGTGTGATGCATTTAGCAAATCTTTCCCTGGCAACAGTGAGTTGACATCAGTTCTACTTTCCTCACATCAGAAATGGGAACAGTGTTTGATACTTTGAAGAATAGAGCAGTGCACCTGACACTTCAGAGCCTCCAGCTGTTCTTTTAGATTCTGCACTTCATGCTGTGAGTCTCCAAGAGCTCCTGGTTGGGTGCTGCTGCTCTGACTTTTTCTTTGCTGCTCTGCCTCATGGTTTGAAGAGGCTGGGAAGAAGGAGGATGAGGGGTTGTATCCAGGTAAAGGACCAGGACCTCCAGGAGGATTACTGTTGGGGCATGACACAGGACCACGTACCACAGCAGTAAAGCCAGCCTTAAGTAAAGACATGAAAGAAACTGGTGAACAAAACTTAAGTCATGGCTCTGAATATATTGAGAGTAATAAAAAATAATGAGCTGTACAGATGCACTGATTGTTACATTACCTGTTTTGCAGCTGTGCAGTCTTTGTCTGCATGCATCCTGTTTTCCAGCAGTCTGATGTACTCCTGCAGCTCCTGGTTCTTCTTCAGTTCCTGCATCAACGCCTGCTCATAGTACTCCTTTGCGCTCTGCAGACCCAAAAACAGCAGGAAACATCACACATGTAATGTAACTTACTTTACAGGGCCTACACCAATATGACTAACTATGTGTGCAATAGGTCTTGAGTGTACATTTATCCATCCCTTGAACAAGCTCTGTTGCATGTTTACCTGTTGGTGCTCCACTTTGAGCAATAGTCTACTGTTCAGCTGTTTGATGGCAGCGCTTTCCAGCTCCAGAGCCTGAAGTCGGTGCTGCAGACCCAGTGTGGCACTGCGGTACACCTGGTCCCATTCCTCATTCAGCTTCATCAGCTGTAACACACCATCAACACATAATCATGACACAACCTTTACAAAAACCCTCTAATGTCATCGTTACCACTGTGTTTCTCAATCTGTCGGCAAAACAACAAGAAATTCAGGAGCGAATTTAGGTCGCAGGTGAGCTGCTTCACAGTCTAAATACATTACAGTTAGCATCAGTCAAGCGAATCATTTTCACTTAAAGCACAACATTAAAATAAAAAATGAAGGCTGTATTCCTGAAAAATGTAACTTTTATTATGATTTTTCACAGCTTAGCAGCAGTTTCCACACCTCGCCCACACTCCTCTGGTTTTTTGACAGAATTCAATGTAAGCACAAACAGCAGCAGCACAAACGTGAAACCTGCAGATAATCTTCACCAGTTTAAGGTGTTTTTTTTTTTCTTTCTTTCTTTTACCTCTTTGTTGACTCTGCGAAGCTCAGTGTTCCTGTTGAGCAGCAGCAGTTTCTCCTGGTCAGCAGAGGTTACAGACATACTCTCTGTGATCAGAGTGACCTGCTCCTCTGTGGACAGCAGTCTGTCACCCACAGGACTCACCTCTGCTGTCCTGCACACAAACACACACAAAAACACACGGTTGCACTTTTTACACATGTCCATGCATATGGGCCATGAATAAAGTCATGATGAAGAACATTAGAGGAGGATTTCCATTAATAAGCAAAAGCATGTTCGCACTAAAGAATGTCAGAGAGTACTTCTGAACACCCACTCGCACAGAGTGCACTTACTGAGAATTGAATGCGAGCTATTATGCACTCCCACGCACACACATGCATGCACTGTCACATTATGCACTCAAGATTCTTGCTCACACATGCACGCTGTGATGCATTTCTTTGCATTTGGAGTCCTAGCCAATCAGAATCACTGTTTACTATTAGAAGCATTAGCATATCGATAGCCTCTAGAAACAATTCATGTGATCATCCGAGGAAAATGTTGATTTATATGGAACCACTTGGAAAGAAGAGAAATATTTGCAAGGAGTAATTAGTAAAACCTGCTTGCTATCCAGCATCCTTGTCTAAAAAAAAGCGCTGATAGGGAGGCACAGACCTAAAGCCCAGGAGGGTACCTGCTCATTGAAAATCACACTCCTCTGTATGTAGCCCCCAAGGCTTCTACACACAGAAATACTGTAGAACTGATGTAACCTCAGAAAGCTAAGTACTATAAAGAGTTACAATCTACTATCACCTCTCATCCCCCTTAAGGCTAAACTCCCCCGCAAACACATGCTTTCATCCACTTACGTACAGTGTCCTGCTGTGTGAAAAACAGTGTTACACAATTATAGAAAAGTCGTATTATCAGGTAAAGGCAGTACAAATGGAAAGATTTGTAAATATTGACCAAAGAGTAAATATATATATATATATTTTTCCACCTTCTAATTATATCTACTTTGACTACAAACATTAAGGTATCACAAAAATGTTTAAACTATTGGAATTGTAATGATTGTAATGATTTTTATTTAAAATTCAACATTTTTGGAAATATATACGATTATTTTGTCCAAAAGATAAATGAGAAAATTGATGCGACCTTCATGTTTGTCAGGCTACAAGCCGCAGGTTGGCTTAGTTGAGTATAAAAACAGGAAACAGAGGGAATGATCTAAACAGATTTTTTCCTAAAATAATACAAAAGAAACAAAAGAATTAAGTAGAAACAAAAAAGCCCCCCAAAACCCAGTGTAGGTTTTTCAGGGGATTATGTGTGGGACTTTTTCTCAGCCGGGAGCAAGGATTTTCTGTTTTTTTGGCTTGCTGGCAACCTCATCGTGACAACCCCACAAAAAACACCACAAAAAAATAAGATATTATAATGTTAATATAACTTAAGAGGTATTGGTAGGCAGTGTTTCTCTCTCTTCAGCCTCTAGAAGGCCTTTCTTTTCTTAGTGTTTATGCTATGCAGAGCTAATCAGCTGTATGAACTGACCTGAGAGAGAGGTATCAATCTCCTCATCAAAATCAGAGAGAAAGTAAGAGTGCATTTTTTGTTTAACAAGAAACTCGTTGACTCAAAGATGACAATTATTTAAGATATTATCCTGGAGCAAGGTTATGTTCCCCACTAAAAAGATTGCTTTTAAAAAAGCCAAAACCCCACATGGACTAATGACATCATCAAAAATGTTTGTGGCATAATAGAAAGGTTTTATCTCAATGTAAACTCTCTGCCATCTGGCTTTCCTCTGGGTTCAACAAGGCAGGAAAGAGCTTCAGTGCAGACTGGTTATGGCCACTAATGACTAAATCATCCACACTGACCCAGCAGGTCTGTGTAGGATGAAAGCAGAAGCTGAAAAAAAAATGAAATGGAGCCTAATTTTAGTGGCCACTACGAGCCCAAAATGCTAACAGACCCGTGTCCAATACCCTGTCTTGGCAAGTCAGCACAGTGTTCTCAGCCATCCTTTTGGGACCACACCATGCTTCATGTCTCCCTCATCCACAGTCTTTTCTCTTTCTGCTGTTCTGACAGCCGATACAAACTGTGTGACCCAGTTTCACTAAGTTTTCAATCGTATTCTGTCTTGGAAGGACACCAAAATGCCACTGCTTCCCACAGCAATATGGTAATTCACTACTGTGGATGATGATAAAGAGGGAGATAATATCTTTCCTTCTTGCTGGTGGCAAATCTGACAATTATGAGGCTAGATTTGTCTAAAGCTATCTGCAGCCACAGTCAGATCCCTTACAGAGGAGAAGACTTCTGTATGGGACTAATCACCTGTATAGGTAATATGCCTACATTTAGAACCATTACTCATTATAATACAGGTAAAACCAAAAGATAGGTCAGGTTCTAAGATTGAGTTATGTAACTGATACCATTTTATCAGCGCTTTCCCAGCATAATGTATAAATGTTGTGTCATTTGAAACTTACATATTTGTGACATCATGGGAAACTCCGCAGTGACTTTTTATACCTCCCTCAAACACCCCACTCACCCCTTCTGAACTAAATATGAAGAACTATTTCAGAGAAGTCTGAAATGTTTAATCACTGTTCAAAAGAAAACTAAGCTACAAATAAAACCTTTCTGTTGATCATGTCACGCTTGATACATCTTAAGCTATATATTTAAGGAAGGACTCTTTTTACTTAAAGATTCAAGTTGGCCATTTGTTGATCAACTGCCAGAGTCTTTTGTCTTTTCTGTATCATAAAGACAATAATACTAGATATTTTACAGATTGTTCAACTGTGTTCCTGTTTTTATGCCCATCTGGTTTGTAAAAATGTAAAAAAATTAAATAAAATAAACATAGCCTACCATATTTCAGGGGATTTGTCTTCCTGTTGGTTCTGAGTGAGGCTGCTGCCACTTGGTGAAGTTTCTTTTTGTGTTCCTGTTTCTGATGAGGATGATAATGTCGAAATGGACGACAAGGACAGAATATCTCCATCCATGATACCAAATTTTCAAATCTTCCGAGAGTCTTAAACAAACTAAAACACTGTTAACACACACGTCGTTCTTCGAGTGTCAGCTAAGCATGTGGTAGAAAGTAAATAGTTGGTAGTGACACGCAGCAGAAGAGGAAGTAACAGAGACCAAGAGCCACATGATGGGAACAGGAAGTGACACTGATAACTGTTTCAGATGTATGTTAAAGAGGGCCTGCACCACTGGGATGAATGTACAGTACTCAAATTGTTCACTCAGTTCAAACATTGTTTGGTTTGAGTTCATTTGGAGTTTTGGGGAAACTCTGCACAGTGTAATTTTTTTGTGCTAATGGGTTTCCCCCTGTGTGTTAGCCGTTAGCTAAGCTTCTGTATTGGGTTTTTAAATGAGCAACTTAATATGGAGCAAGCTGAATAGATATGAATAATTTGTGCATGATTATATATTGCTTGATATGTAATTGATAATGATGGTAACACATACATTTATTCATGACAAGTAATGATAGGGTCAGGCTGATTGCATTCCTCAGTCTGCTCATTACTGGGATGAGGGAAGTGGGCTGCAGCAGGTTAATTAGTAAATCACACGTACATCCGAGGGACAATCCAGTAAATTAAAGGATTTTGTTAATTATGTTCCTCTTAGTCAAGCTAAGCTGTCTATTATTAACACGAAGAGAATTCATTTACCTAACGCGTTTACATTAATTTCTCCTCAACCTACTGACTGAGAGATGGAAAGTTAAAGACCTTCCTGTGGTAAAGAATTTGTCGGAGAAACAGGTGGCAAATTGCAAGGAAAAGAACAGCAGCACAGTGGCTAAAATATCTAACTATGATCTCGTTCCCATACAGTTCTAATGCAGCAAAACAGTTGTTTATTTCTTCTTTCTTTCTTCAAAATTCTGGGCATTGGGGAATATATTTTGTCTGCAATGCTCGGAGAAAGCTCCCGCGCAGCTACGTGTTAGCCAGAAGAAAACATAATCGGTTTGCCTTAGAAGCTGAGTCATCATCTGTTTTTATGATTGATCTGCTAATATTTAGTGTCTTAATGTTTTCCGAAATAAACAGGTTATATTCATCAATAACTCAGGCTCTGTGATGTGATATTCACAGACTGTTCAGAGGCTGGCACAGCTAATCAAAAAGGTTACTTTGTTAACCGTTACAAGGTTAACCTCGACATCACTTAATCCGTTCATTCTGTTCATGTTAAACTGAAGTTAAAAATAACATATTCATTAATCGGTCTTATCAATAAACCACAAAAACATCAGCTTTATGCAACATCAGTAGATGTGTGTCCATAAGAGGTCAGGATGACTTCGAAAACTCTAACTTTTACACACATGTCTGTGTTGAATATCTACAAATAAGAGAAACTGTTGTACTTCTGGATGGCAGGCAATGTGGGTGGAAAAAAGTGGACAACCAGGTTGCAGATTGTATCAGTCTAAACTGAAATTTATTCAGGCTGGCCACACAGAAAGAGAAAAAACATGACAAAATGTCTTTCATCCATTATCAAATGTCTAATGCAAATAAAACTTATGAGAAGTTAGTCAAAAAAAAAAAAAAAAAGACTGGCTCTCTTCACAGCCTTCTACTCAAAAGTGACACACATCAACCAGTCCGCTGATCTCACACACTATAATATACCTTTCATCTTGTGCCAACCAAAGAGGAGCTCTGTAATCAGTGCCCCATTGACTTCAGGGGCAATCAGTGAAAGAGACTCAAGCATGATTGAACATATAAAAAATACTAACCGAACTTCCCTTCTTAAACTTAAACAAAGCATACATATAAAAACATATATAAAGTATGTAACATTCCTTTTACTTTAAAAAGAAAAATAAGATGAATTAATACTCAAGTTTTATTCACGTTAAAGTTTGTTTATCAAAAATAATCTACAATTTAACATATGAGACAATAGAGGCTCTATGTCACAAACTTTTTTCTATTATCACCTCCCTTGACACGTCTGTGTGTTTTCTCATTATCATCATCCTGCCCTCAATTATGTCATGTAAACACCCTCTGAGAATGATATATTCATATTTCAGTAAAGTAAAAAAAACAAAACAATGACATAGCCAGTGTGAGCTACAGCTAATTTTTCATTGCTTATGGTAAACACAGTGGTTATTCAGGAAAGCAATCAAGGCAAAGATTTCCTTTTTTTGAGCACTTTACTATGTAAGAAATACTCAAATCATCATTGGTGACAGCCAGATATCAAACAGACAATCAGACGACCAGATACACCAACTTCCTGAGCTGTCGAGTTATTCCTGTCTGGACCAAAGTGATGGACCGACTAATAGACAAAGTCATCTGTAGAACCGTCACACTACTGTGAATAAAAACAAACTATGAGGTGCTTTGATCCACAGTTATAAGAGATGGTGTTGAAGTCATGGATAAAATTGTCTCTATTAAATTACTGACCCAGTACCTCGATTCAGACAACAACAGTAGTCTTTTACACTGGTGGAAAAGATTTAGAGTGTTGTTTTCTGCGTTGGTATCCAGAGGGCTGAGTCATTTCACCATCTGATGCACCACCATGAGATAAAAGCAGGAGAGGCAACAAAATGTCAGTGCTACCCAGTAGCTCTGACTTGCTCCAGTGATTCCATTCACATGTCTTTGCCATCTATCATGAACGCCAGTCACAGTATTGCTGTGCCAAGCATAGGCTTTGCTGGGAGGCCCGGCAAGGGAGTAGCAATGCAGTGCCTTTATTGACCCAAGCCTCTGTCAGAGCCAAGGACAAATGGGCTGCTGCTTCATAGGGGGATTGATTTTTAGTCTAACAGGAGATCGTGGGGTGAGTGTGGGGGAGTTCTCCTGGGTGCCGCACCTGTATGTGTCTGAGGAGAGATTTTAGACTTTTGAACTGGATTGGACCTTTAGCACCTGATCTCTCTTTTCTCTTTGGATCTACTCTCACAGTTTCCAGTTGTCCGACATGTTTTGAGCTACCCAACCAGGGATATAAATTTACTTTGACCAACTGTTTTCGGTTCAATAACCAAGTGTATCTACTGAGTTATAATACAAAGATCTATTGAAGTAAAGGAGCACACATATGTTATTATATGTGTGTGTGTGTGTGTGTGTGTGCGTGTGTGTGTGCGTGTGTGTGTGTCAGAGTCGCATGACTGTGGGTGAGAGTGTGAGTGGAAGTGAGGGCTCTGGAGAGTTTCTGTCAAACGTAACAATGCCTGAATTTGTCCTCTTGTTTTTTTTTTACCACAAAGGGAAGTGACACACAGGGCAGCACACATGCAAGCTTGCCCTAAACATGCTCGAATGCATACACGCAAACACTCACTCCTGGTAGGACTTAATTATTGCTTAATGTATGTGCTTCTGCTCTAAGGGGGGCAGTACAGAATTGCTTATACTGAACTGCCCTGACAAGCAAATTGAAAAAAGTGAATTCCATGCAAAAAGCAGGCACATTGCCATGATGATATTATTGTGAACATGTTAAATTAAAAAGCAGGGTTTTTTTTCCCCGTGCATCACATTAAGAGTGCAAGAATAATTGAGAGATGAGGGAGATGAGGCATAAAACATTTGTGTTGTCCTAAGAAGAGGAATGTCTGATGGCATGCAAAGAAAGCAACCAAAGGCCTTTTTTTTTTTCAATGCAGAAGCTGTCAATAATATAAAAGACTGATGTCTGACGGCATGCAATGCATTCCCCAGTTGGTAATATTTTCATGAAAAGCAGCAGTTTAAAATCACGAAGAAAACTCTGGCTGTTTCCAGCTTTGAAATGATCAAAGGTTTGAGTATCTCAGCTGCATTTGATCATAAATATTCTGCAATGTGTGGCATAAACAGGAGGAAAACAAACAGGAAATCGTATGGTCTGTGTCTTTGGAGAAATAGAAAAGGAAAACAGCACTTTATTTTGATATTGATCACATGATCATGTTCTGTGAAACACATCTAAGGGTATTAATCCACAGCAACACATTTCTCAGTGACCCTTGTAGATTAATAGAGAAGGAATGATGCAAAGTTAGGGACAAAATGGGCTGAAAAACATGGTGTCGACAGGCAGACTAGGTGCCAAAAGAGGGATCAGCTTTGATGTAATTTACTTTTGAGAACAATGAAGGATAAATCTACAAAATTGATAACTTAAAGAGCTCCATAACTGATCAACCTGATCAAAAAAAAACCAAAAAACAGAGAAATTAGGAGCATAGGAGATTGAAATAGGAACTCCACTGATTTTCCACATCAAAATGTGGTAACAGGTCTTAGGGAGTACCACTGAATATGTGAAAAGTTGTATGAAACTTTTTGTGGCTCCAGAGGGAGCTGTGGAAAATGTGATAAACTGTCAAGTCAGTGTCAGATGGGTCTGAAGATGTAGACGTTGAAAAAAAAAGGGGGACTGAAAAGTATAGAGAAGTAAGCTTGCCAAACATCAGTGGCCAAATCTTTATCTCTGCACATATACATTGGCTGCATACAGCACAACACCACTGAACTGAATTTGAACTTATTTTATTTGATAGGGGTGATGCAATTTAGTAAAGTTCAAATATAGAGAGCATGAAATTGGAGTGCTTTACAGGGTGTATAGATTATGCTTTTTACCTCTTTTTAGTCCTTTTCATTACATCACATTATAGTGCAGAAATCTTTGTCTGGCATTTCGTTTTAAAATAGATTGATTATATGCAATATATAAAAGTAATATTTTCAGTATAGATCTTTTTGTTTGTGTTTTGTTAGTCTGACAAGCTATCAAGGGAGTATTACGGTGGCTCTGAAGTGCAAAACACAACAACAAATCAGAAAACACAACATCATCAAGTCAAACACAACATGAAAAGCATATCCTTCCGGGTTCAAAAGACGGACGGTGCATTGGTCCAATCATCGACGAGCCTTGTCGAATGCAGGTATCTACATTTTCCATTAGAAGTCATTGTGTTGTCTTATTTGTTTTTGTGTTTTGTGATTTGTCGACAACATATCGGCTCCCAAACCTGAGGTGATGTCAGAGTTAAGTGGCCACATTAGGACCTTTTTAATTGTTAGAAATACCCTTTAAGATCATCATGTTTTTCTGTTTTAATGGCAGAATTTGTAATTCTACAT